CGCAGCGCCCGCCTTCGCGGGCGCTGCGCCGCCTCACAGACCCCGCCCGGCTTCAAGGCTCCTCCTCGCCGCCCTGACCCGTTCTCAGCTGCCTCTCCCCTTCTCTCCGCAGCGCCATGCGGCTCTCTCCTTGTGCCGTGGTGCTTTTGGGGCTCCTGGGGGTCCTGCGCCGCGTTGGTGCCTCAGGTGAGTGCTGACGAGGGAAGGGGGGGCATGGCCGCCATCAGTCGCGCGGTAAGGCCCGTGGAGCCCGGAGCTGGGGAGAGGGGTGTTTCGGGCCGGCCCGGCAGCTGGCAGGATGAAAGGGAAAGGGGTTTGTTGGTGAGGCCTGCAGGGTGTTTTAAGGGGGTGTCCCAGGCGGTGGGGTGAACGCCATCGTTCTGACATGGATCTGCTGGGTTAGTTTTTACCATGCCGTTGCGGGCATACGGTACAGGCTGCTGAGGCTGGTGTAGAGTGTTCCTTCTGGGAACACTCTCTATTCACTACCCGGGAGCTTATGAGGAAGGGATCAAGGTTAACAGCAGGGTTATTATCTTTTTTGGACTGTAACAGGTGGTCTTGGTTTCCCAGCTCCCTGCAAAATGTGGGTTGGAAACCACTGGCCCTATAAAATGAGGATGAGTGACCCCCTCTTAGAATTTGGAGTTAGGCTCCTAAAATTACTCGTTGGCTGTGCTGATGTAACCTGCTTTATTTGGCATGGATCTTTTCTTTCTTTAATTCCCCTGTGTTCCTGCATGGGACTAAAATAGGTGTCCAGAGGTAAGTGTGCTGTAACGAGAATAGCTTGTGAAGATGTATCAGCTGCCTACTTTTTTTTCTGGTTAAACTCTTATCTGTACAAATACAGGAAAAAATAATCAGTTTCCTTTCAGAGATAAGCAAGCAGCCTCTTACGTTAGAGCTGTAAGCCTCCTCTGCTTAGTTTTTTTAAATTTCTAAACTCCCCTCTAATGCAACTTTATTCTCCAAAAGGAGAAATCTACCTTTAGCATGCTTTGCAAGGCTGCAGGACAGCGGTTGGATCAGGCTGAAGTGTGGATGACTTGCCCCTCCGCCCCTCGGGTCACACGCTCAAGATGTTAGTGGGGAGCCAAGTGTTCCCCGCTTCTTGCAGGCCCCAGAAGCTTAGGCTTGCACCTGACGGTGGCATGCGGGTCTGAGCATCAAGCTCAGCGTTCTTGGGTCTTAATGTTTATACTGAAAGATGCTGACAAACCATTTGTCGCACAGATGTGATTGAGAGTGAGTCATGTGTTGAGTAATCTTTTCACGGTATGTAAAACGGCAGAATGAGCACAGGACTAAGCTGGCTGCTTTGCCTTGGAGGAGTCTGTTGGTATATTTTCTTACAGAATTGAGGGTGGAGGGAGAATGTATTTTCCTCATGAAAAGCTAATAAGCTGTGTAATTTGTGTACTGATGTCTAGCTGATCATTAGGCCCTTTAAACAAGGACACTTACATAATGGTTCACTTATTTAAAATTGTCCTGTGGCTATTCAGTCTTGGACACCTGCATTTGCAGGAATGGGCTCTGCTATCTCCTAATACGAGAAGACCCTGCTCGATTTTAGCGCTGACAAGTAAAACCGGTCCTTGATTACATCTCTGGGGTTCTGATGGGCTGCAGCTTTTCAAACTTCGTGTTTGTGAGAGAATGTTTTTGTATATCGTGTTTGTTCCCTCCCAGGGAGCTCTGACTTTATGAAGTAGGAGTGCAGCTGGCCTCGTTTGCTACGTCCACACGAAGTTGTTTAGTGTTGGGAGAAATAAATCGCGCTTAGGGTGTAATTGGGGTTGAGCAGTGCGCTGTTCACGAAGGGAGCTTATCTGGATGATCTTGGTTTGTGTGAGCTGTTTAGGCTGTGCCCAGACAGTGTATTTTAGAGGAAGAGGTTCACACAAAGCTGTTTAGTTTTCTGAATGCGTTGGACAGCTGGTCACTCGCATCTCAAAGCGCTATTGCCCAGATGCGCAAGTGACACCAACAGTGCCAGCGATGTGGCCGAGCCCGGGTCTCGCAAAATCAAGCGTGTCAGTAAAACTCTAAGCAGGGAGACGGGTGGTAACATCCTTTGCTTTTCAGACTGTGGAAGACCTCATGACATCTGTAACTTGGACATCTAGGATGGGCGTGGTGCAGTTAGTGGCACAGAACATGGCTTGTCACAATCTGCTTTAAGCATCAGGCTGCTCTAGGCATCGGTCTCGGTAGACATGCAATTAAAGTTCAGAAGCTTTCATAAGTCTTCTTGCTTCTTTTGGGGATGGGGTGGGTGGTGTCTTACTTGTGTGGGAAGACAGCTTGCAGCAGGGCTCTGCTGTGCAGCTGTGCATGCATGGCCTTACAGGTTTGATAGAATGTGGCTGCTGGTTTGATTGTTAAGTAACTGTATACTCCTGTTTTTCCTTCTCAAACTAGTTTTCAGTCTGAGCTTGCATTTCATCTCCATTAAATGTATTCATGTGGCAACTTGTTGATATACTCCCTGCACTGCAAGGTGGTTCTTTAACTCTTAAAGCTTAGGTAAGGTTATTCTGCGTATCTGCTCTAATTCAGTCGGCACGGAGTAGAAATCCATTTTCTCAGGCTGCAGAGAACTCTCTTGTCTGAGGCAAACACAGTGTTTGAACACAGTTCTGTAGGAAAAGGCTGTTCTTACTTGGGCAGCAATGGTGTTTCTTCAGTTCCATTTCTTAATGGAAACTGGACTGCCAGACGCCGTCGGCAATACTGTATGGTTAGCTGCTTATTGGTGATGGGGAATGATGCGAATATTGGAGCTGGAAACGTGGTTTACTACCTCATTTCTTAGAGTTAAGAATAGGGACTTTTGATCTTGGAAGAGCTCTGGGGGGTTCAATTCCTTTGCTGTCTTTACTGGCTTTGCCCTTCATGTGGGGAAGAAGATGCAACGTGGAGTGACAGACTAGACTGTTGTCCACCTCTGCTCGTCATTTCTCTTCCACATGCTGGAATATCTGTGCTTCTGTTCTAGTACTGGTGGTACTAGTATACCAAGTAATACATGCTCCATACTCCATCTTTGCTCGGCTCTTGCTCAGTTTCCAAAATGCTGACTTGTTTAAAAGTATGTTTACAGTTGAAAATCTCTGTAATAGTGAGGGTTCCTCTTTTTGTTTCTAACCCAAAACTTCTGTGACATGCAGTGACCATCGTGGTTCTCCCTACAAGGTGAGGAAGAGAGGGGATAGCTTGGTATCTTAAAGTGTTTCTGGATCTCCACTGTTTGAAGCAATAAAAAAAAGCTGGGATGCCTAGGTTTTGTTCCTGGTTCTGTTGCTGACTTGCTGGGTCAACTGCCCCTCTTCTGTGGCGGTGTTATCTTTGCTACCTGTGCTGCTGGAGCTGTAGGCCTGCTGGGCTACGCTTAATCTCCCTGGAGGTAGCAGGCCACAGAGGCGTGCATGCTGTAGCCAGTACTGCACGTTCGTGGAAGGCTCTGGGTCTGTTCTTCAAAGCATTTTTGACAGCGCTGAACTCAGTATGGCTAAGGTAGCCTAATGCCTGTCTGAGGACTTGCGATAGCAGTGAGCCTGACGAACTTTGGGTGAGTTAACTTGTCTTGCTCTCCACGCTCCCTTTCTGCTGCAGAGCACCACCAGTGACTTGTCCAAATGACTGAAGGAGGCTGGAAAGGTGCTGTAGCCTATGGCCATGCAGCGATGGCTCTTCGAGCAAACTCCTTAAAAGGCTGTGCTGCTCTGCAGTGCCTGTGAACTCTCCTTTCAGTCATCTTTCAAGCCTGGCTAGAAGTGTGCTTCAAGGAGCCTGTGAACAGCGAGCTGAAAAATACTTGTCCGATGGATGTAGCCGTTCTCGTTCTTCACCCTGAATCTCTGCTTTTCTGTCCAGACTTTGGTTTTAGAATGTGTGTCACATGGACTGTTTTAGGAGCAATTATGCAAACAGTACAGCAATGTAGAACACCGTGCCTTAATTTACCATGCTAATTAAACTTGAGAGAGTACTGCTGACATTTGGAGTCTCATGATCATGTCGAAGTAGTGGCTGCGTGTCTTGCTGGCGAATCTGCTCTTCTTTATGCAGAGGCCTCTGGGTATGAGTAGAGTGGAAGTGAGAAACAAGACAGAGCAATGCAGAGTTTTCCCCTTGCTGTAGAGCTCAGAGGATGTATATGGTTTCATTTTTTTCCCTTAAAAGAACATGTACGTGTGAACATCTTGCAGCTCAGTAAACCATGCTGAAGTTCTTAAAGAGCAAAGAAAAGTATGTTTTCCTGCATTTGCTCCAAATTTTTGAATGCATGGATGTATAGTCCATGCCTTTTGAATGCTTTTCTTTAGCATTCATACTGTTGGTTGCATTTCTGGTGGAACTTAAGAGTGAAAGAGGCCTTATGAAGGGGAGGACATCTGAATACTGCCCCAGGGACTCTATCAGAAACTGAAGAATACTCAAAGGTGGTGGGTTTTTTGTAGCTCTAATTTTACCTTAATTACTGTTTGAAAACTTGGAGTAGGAACCTTTTCTATCTTAACACAAACCGCAGATGATGGCGCAGAAAAATGTAGAATCTACTCTTTTTTTCCCTCCTAGATGGTTTATGATCCCCATATTTCAGCTGGGGTTTTATTTGCGATGGAATAACAATTTCTGGGGATGAGCATGTAAGGGTTGAAGTTAGCGAGATGAGATGAATTAGGCTTTTCCTTTTCTTTTTTTTTTCCTCTGCTGTGGGATGAGTGGAGGAGGCACGAGGGTATGAGCTCACCTCCGTTTATGTATCATCAAGAGGCAAAGAAGCTGGCCAAAGATGCCAATTCTTGGCAGGGGAGGGTGAAAAATAACAGAGAAGGAGTACGGAGTACTGGCTACAGGGTTTTGGATGAGAAGACCATATCCTTTCCTTTTTTGGATGGGAGGCCACCTGAGACATCAGCAGCAGTGTGTGTGGGAGGGTGCTGTTGATTACTCTGCGCTTCTGTTGGGGTAGTTGACAGTATCAACCCTTTAACACTAGAAGGGGAAACTTTGTTGAGGAAGTACTCTGTGTGTGTGTTTAGGCTTGATAAGTTTTAGGGCTGCTTGGCTACTTACTGTGTGTGCATGCAGGAGAATTCAAGGAGAAACCTGAAAGGCATTGTGCATGCTCTGCAAGCATCTAATCTGCCTGCTAATCAACAACAGAAGAGAATCTTGTGGCTTCTGTACAGCTGCTTCTCTTTCCTCCCTTGACATCCTCTGTGCTTTGTGAGCCTAGCACAGGGAGAAACCAGGCTTTCTGGCAGGACTTGAATGACAAGCCAAAGCTGATTCTCAAAGAATCTTACATCCTAGCTCATGTGGTTCTCTTTAAATTAAAATGACGGTGGATCATGGGGTTATACTCATTGTAAGAAGAAATGGTCTTGGTTGTGCCTTGGAAAAATTAGTCAGATTTTTAGATGCAGAAACTAAGGTCCAACAGTCCTAATAATTAAGAACAGTGTGGGAACAAGAGACTCGTGAAATAGCTGAAAGTGTGTAAGTATAGGTATGTAAACTACAGATTTGACTGTTGTGGAAGGTGACTCTGACTCCCGTGGTCTGGGAATTCACCCAGAAGGTCTAACAGGTATTGTGGAAGTTAGCTGGCTAATAGGAACATATTTGCTTGTATTGGCCAAAGAACAGTATCCTCTCTTGCTTACTCTACTGAATGTTGCCAGCTGGTCAGCTGCAGGTAGTGTCTGTCGCTGGTGAGCCCAGCTGTATCCGGTACTGAGCTCCTGGCAGGGTTTCCTGCCCCGTGTGCCTAGGTGCTAGGTTGCATGGTGGGTTCTGTGCAGCTTATGGGGTGACAGTAGCATTAAACATCTTGCTCTGCTCCCAGCTGACTAATACTGGGCCACTGGAGCTTCCAGGCTCTCCTTCGTAATTGCTTCCCTCTTGATTTAAAACAAACAAACAAAAACCCTCCACAAGTGGATCTTGTGCTTTTTTTTTTGTAATGCAGGTCTTCTTGAGCTCTCCTTGGGAAAATTCAGAAATGTGCTACTTAACCAGACCAATCCAGTGGAAGCCGTAATCAGGAACATTGCAAGCAATGTGACAGTCGTTATTTTTCAAGTACATGCCCAGCAAAGTGATGTGGTGATATCCTTCGATAAGGTATGGTAAGAGTGTCACTTCCCTTCTTAAGTGCTACTTTTCTTTGAGCAGAGGAGTTGCCTCTGGTACATGTGCAGATATGGAACCGAAGCTATATAAGTAATACCAATATCTTACCTGCGTGGCTCTTGGGATGTTTTAGCTTTAGAAATCCTTTCCTGTACCTTATGTCGTAGCAGCTCTTTTGGAGGACTGAATGCTGGAGAAATTTCAGAGCTGGCTTGACAATGTCGCAAGACTTTGAAGTGTTGCTTTTTGATGTGTGACTGCTGACTGCTATCTGTTAGCTTGTCAAATTAGAAGCAGATTCATGATAAGTATTTGCCAGGTACCTTACACACCAAACATGATCACTTTGGGATGTGCAGTTGTCTGACCTTATGGGGCTTGGATCTGGCTGTGACAGGTGTGATACCTCGTAACTCCAGCTGCTTGTCCTGAGTTTAAGGCTCCTTTGGCATGTGGAGAAATTCCTCCACACTCTGTTGGAGGCTCCTACTTCTAGCCAACAATATAAGCATTTCTGCTACTCTGCACCAGCCTCAGTCTGTCCCGTTGTTACTAGGATGCACTCTAAAATACTGGGTTTTGTGGTGCTGTGAAGCTCTAAGTGGTATCTGAGCGGAATGTAGACTAAGCTGAAGGTGGTAGATGGAGAGCTGCCAGCCAGTTTCCCTCTCCTCATCAGTATTTTCCCCATGAGGATATAGAGTGCTGAGAAACATCCTGGGAAGTGTACAGGTGAATAACCTGTAACACAAGTCGCCCAGCTGCTCGGTCTGCTTTGTACTGATGGAATAGCCAGGATTACAGGGCTGAGGCATTACTGTTTATGCCTGTTCAGTCTTTGACTATCAGTAGCAGAATTTTTGCTGTCAATTCAGACTCTTTGCATTCATGGGCCTTACTAGGCTAAGGACAGTGGTGCAGAAGTATGGCTGTACTGCTTTTGGGGCTGGCCTGCCTCTGGAAATACGAAGCTGAGCCAGACCTTTAAAGCCTGCCAGGTCCAACATGCCTCCTTACTGTGTTGTCTCAGACTGTGGTTGTCTTGGCCAAAAGCACATTTTCCGTGCTGAAAAATAGATTTGACTGGAGGTCAACTGGTTGTTCCAGCCGTGTGAGTGTGACACTGCTACCGCTTCCTGATCTTTCTCACGATCCCTGGTTCTGAAAAGGATGGTGCTGGTGGGTGTGGGGTCAGTAGCTGATCTGGCCCCAAGGACTTGTCTGGCATGGCTGGTGTTAAGCCAGCTGTCATACAATCCTCTCTGTTCTGATAGAGGTAGTGAGGTACTTCTGCACCTTGGCTCCTAGAATGCCCTTTAGTGCCATCTCACAACTGTTAGTGAGGGATGTTCCAATCCCTTTACACCTTTACTAGTCCCGCCATAGCAGCAGATGGCAACTAGCTAGGTTTGTCTATAATTTTGCTTGTGGTTATTAACTCTTTAGTAGTCTCAAACTTGTCACTTGGGTTTTTGAGCCTGAACTAGACAATATGTAGTGTCAGAGGCCACTCCCTTTTTTCCAGATCCCTTTTTTTCCATCTTCTTTTTGAACTAGCTAGCTAAGGGCTGAATGCCTTGTCTGTGGCAACTGTCACTGTGATGTGCTCCCTGCGGGTTTGTGGCAGGAATGTGACTCCTGTGCAATGCATCGAGCTGCAGTGGAAATCTTCTCAAGAAGAACTGTTTGTTTCTGTCCAGAATCCATCTGTGAACAGCTCGGGAACCGGAGTAGACAAAGGACTGGTTTCCATCCTTCGGCCCCAGCAGACTGTATGCACGTGGTACCTCCGGTCGCTGGATGCTAGCCAGGTGCTCAGCACAGCTCTCTCCATTCCCTATATGGAGAAAGGTACGTTCACACTACTTTGAATAAGCAGAGCTGGTATCCCTTAACAAGTTAACTATGAAAGGAAGTGTTGACCTTTCAGAGGTGGCATTCTTATGTGGTGCAGACATATGATAGGGATACCAGAAATTCTTTCGAAATGGGCTGAAAAAGCTTATTATCACCGCTGAATTGTGAGTCTTGTGTAGGATGTACTGTACAGTCTTGTCATGACTTCAGCCTTAGAGCAGAAAACTGCTGTGCATGAATATCAGGACCTCTCTTAGACTGCAGTGAAAGCACTTGTGTTGTCTGCAGGGCTAGAACCTGGCCATTTTTTGCGCTCAGCAAACAGACTGTGCCTGCAGGTACGGGCATTGCTGAGATCTTAGAACCTTTTTCATGCTGTGCGAGGGGGAAGTTAAAACTACGACGCTTATCTTTTCTGTGTTCTAGATCCTATTCCTGGAGGCTGCAATCTAGAATTTGACTTGGAAGTGGATCCAAATATTTACCTAGACTATACATTGGTTGATATACACATCAAGTTTGCCCCTGCCAATTTGGGATATATGAGGTGTGTGGGAAAACTTCAATGCACTGAGCATGGCTTCCTTTGTCCTGCACTGGGGCAAAGTCATAAAACAAGGTGCTGCTGGAAAGGCTGGCTATCCAGCTGCTGGTAGAAATCTTGTTTGCTGCAACAAACTGAGAAGTAAATGAGGAAAAAGGAGGGGGAGAGGTAACGGAGATAAAAGTTGAGAGTTGCGTCTTGTGGGAGAGGTTATGCAACTCCAGATGTGCAAGCAGTCAGCAAATACTGGATCTTCCTGTCCCTCACAATGGCTTAATCTGTTTGAGGAACAGTTGTGTATTATAGCCAGTTTTATTCTTTTATTGGTACTGGACCATGATGTAGAGTTTTGTTTAATACTGAGACATGGAGTTATAAGGCGTCACCTCCTGGATGGTGCCTCATGTCCCAGTGATGGGCAGGGAATGGGAAAGGCTGCGTTCAGAGCCGCATGTATAGCATGCGTGCAAAAACGAGCAGTGTTGCTGCGATCTTCGGCCACTGACCTCTCAAAATTCTTGTGCTGGGTCCTTACGACAACTCGTAGGAAGCCCCTCTATATGTAAAGGCCGGTACCAGCACAGATGCTGCCTGCATCAGGGTAGTTCTGCATAACTGCTCTGACTTGTGCTCACAACACTCAGTCTAATTTGGATTAGTTGCTGGTGTTAACTTCTGAAGAGTAGAAGACAGATGTTGCCACCTCAGACAGGTAACTCCTGAAAGCTAATGTTAAGATCTGGGTACATAGCTGATCTCTCTATCTGTAGAGGAGCAAACCCACCATCCTGCGATTCGGGGACCGGTCAGAATTCCAGGTGGCGGCTGCACTATGATGTCTACCAGTACTTCTTACCAGAGAACGATCTTTCCGAGATGATGCTCATGAGCCACATACGGAAGATGTCTGAGGTGCAAAGTATCAGAGCTAATGGCATTAAAGTAAGTGTGAAGTGCTGGTGTACCAGGCATTTGGCAGTGGCACTAGCTTAAATTTTTACCTCCCCTGTGCTTTCATCTTCCTTAACTGGTGACATAAGCAAGCTGATGGTGCTTCCGGCTTCTTGCTTGTATTTGGGATTTCTGGCTAGGAAGCGTACAGTGAGCGTTGCATGCAGAATGGCACCCCCACTCTTTTGGGGATAGAGGGTGGCAAGTTAGCACAGCCTGAAACGTGGCAGAACTGAGGTTTCTTGCAGTGGGCTCTGCTATTAGGTAGACATTAGTGACTGGTCTGTGATGTGTTTCTGTGTCTTGTGCTCTTTCCTTAATTAAACAAGCTCTTCTTGCAGTCTCTTCCTGCTTGCTGAATGCTGCTTTAGCCACAGTGCTCCTTCAGTAACGTTGAGGCCGGCTTGCCTATGGCAGTACTGCCTGTAAATCCAGAAGTTGAGCCACTTCTGGCAGAGATTGATAGTCTCCTACAATGCCTGACAGATGCTGGGGACTGGTGACCTCAGATGCTGAGAACTGGGCAGGGAACACAAGAGGAAGGAGAGTGTAGTGGAACTGGACTGGAAACAGGCCCCATTGGAGTGGCATAAAGAGATGTGATTTGTAAGAGCAAACACTTGCTGTGTATTTGCCTACGCCTCGGCAAAGAGACTGCTAGGGACAGACTGGGGAGAATCTCCGTGGCTGTGAGCAGCCTGGCCTTGACAGGGAGCAGAACGGCAGCCTTGTCTGCTTCGGGGGCCAGACCTGGGTTAGGCTGCTAGGGAAACTGAATTGTGCCCTCAGGTGGGGAGAAGCAAAACATACGAGTGGGACAATCTTCTCCCTGGTCAGAAGACATAATAATGTTGGAGGAAGTGGAGTCTGTCCTGTGAGCCTTTACTGCTTCAACTGGTAATACTGAGAGGGTTTAGAACAAGAGAGCTCTTGCCTGCAGTTCTTGTTGATCAGCATCTTTGAGCTGCTGAGTATTCCCTCAGCTGTAGGGACACATCAACGTGCCAGCAGTTACAAGCAGTTCCTTGCAATTAAAAATATTCTTTACTGTTCCAGATGCTTTCGCTGACAGCTGATGACAAGACCAATGTCTACTTCTCCTCGCTTCCTGGGCAAGGTGTGATCTACAACGTCATAGTGTGGGATCCTCTTTGGAATACTTCTGCTGCGTACATACCTGTGCATACATATGCCTGCAGCTTGACTGACCTGGTGGATAACTGCTCTTCTCTCAGTAAGTGGGGACTTGTGTGTCCTTGCCAACTCGTTTCAGGCTTGTGGTGCGCCAGCATGCTGAGTGGTGTTTGAGGTTTTTTTTTTAAATAGGTGAAGGAGCTCTTATTTTCTACACTAGATACCTTTTTGTTACTTTATGACACTCTGCTTCTTGACTGAGGAGAAACTCTAGAATACCTAAGTAAGACTAAGGAGAACTGTTAGCATTTGAAGATTTAACTTAATAGAGGTTTAACATGTGGCTTTCAGCGTTGCTGTGCCACTCTAGCATTTCCATATGAACCACATACTTAATCTCAAATAGCTTTTAGGGCTCTAGGTGCTGTATGTGAAACTAAGCTAGTAAAACATAAACTAGGGTAGGGTCCAGCCTGACTGTTGCAACTGCTGGTGCTTACAGGAGCTGGTAACTTACAAATATTTGTTAAAGGAGATAGTCACCTAAAATAAGCATGAGGACAATGCCAGCAATAGTGGAATGACTACAGCGTTAAGCTACTTTGTACAAACCTATGCAGCGATACAATTAGAGTAGAAGAAGAGTAAAGCTGCCAAGCCCATCATGAGCGCAGAAGGGATAAGCATAGTGGGTAGAATATGTTTCATAAAGTAAGATTTGTTCTCGTGACTCTTTCCTTACATATCCTGTAACACAAGTAACTGTTGTCAAACCTGATGTTGTCTTGTGACAGCACAAGGCACATTATCTGGGCTAAACGCCTCTTCTCAGGCAACCAGGAAAATGTGGTTTACTTGTTCTAAATAGCTTAAATACCAGTAAGAACTTTGCCTGGGAGACAGAGGTGAGGCATACTGGGATGTGCTGGTCACTTCTGCTGCCTGGAGAGCATGTTGAAGGGAGAATATGGGGAAGGCTGCAGTGATAGGCTCTAGCTGCTGCCTGGGTCACTAATACTGTAGCACTGATTTCTTTAATACATATTTGTCCCTCTTTTAAAGCTGAGCTGAGAATTTTCAGGTACAGCTGTATCAGTATTATAAACAGCAAGTTACAGCTACTGAATTGTTACAGAAACTTGTGTTTTGAATAAGGAGGAAGCTCTTGGTTTCTTAATCAGACTGGAACGACTTCAGTAGTCTGGAGATCTATCAAGATAATGGTTAGTACAGGCATTGCAGATCTGCTCACATGGTGTCTTTGAAGCAGCAGCAGCCATTAAGTTGTCAGACTCGGTGACAGCAACCTGACCTTACCTTGGTCTCATTGGGACTACCAGGTGGAATACTCTAGTAACCCATTCTTTCTCCTTGTAGGCAAACTCTCTACCAAAGTCGTCTTCACTGCTTTTGGTGTTCTTGGTCTCTTTGCTTGCTTTTTTGGACACAGATTCTGGAAAACAGGTACTGTATGTTGGTGGTGTGTTTGTTTTTTTTTTTTTTTTGTCATAGGTCTGGTTGGAATGTCATAGATGTAAGTTAGAATGGTGGTGTTATTACTAAGATTCACTTGATAGTGGATCTAATTGGCATGTAATCCCTGCTTTGCTTTTATGGGATCAGAGCATTTAAGCATGGACTTGGCAGTGCTAGGTTAACAGTTGGACTTGATGACATCAACTGTCTTTTCCATCCTAAAAGATTCTGTGATTCTACAAAGCGCAGAGTAAGAAGTTTCTGGTATGCAAAGAATGGAAACCTAGAACCCAGGTGCATGCTGGGCAATACAAACATGTGCCTTTTTGACTATCTGAAGTCCCTGAGGATACCCCTTTCCGGAACAAGTGTGATCTATGATTCTAAGATTCTATGATGATCTGGCTTTCCTTTTGTGCTTCTCGGCCAGCGAGCTGCTATGTTCTTTCCCTGTCGTAAGATGAGGATGTCTGAGGATGCACTGAAGTGGGTTTGGTGTGAAGTGACCTGGAAGCCTACTAAATCTTTCTTCTTTCTTCTCTAGACTTGTTCTTCATGGGCTTCATAGTCTCAGGATTCTTCTTCTTTGTATTCGTTACAAGGGTAACTGGCCTCGGTTATGATGGTGAGTAGATGTGTCGGGATACTCCGCACTCTTCCCAAAGTATTGTTATGCATCCCTAAAGTAAAATCTCAGTTGTGTTTGGCTGGCCATAGGGAGGATAGCAGGACTGTACCTGAGTACTTCAACTGAGCTCTGACTACTGTAAAAGCTGAATGTGCAAGAGTAACTGATGCAACATCAAACAGTAATGCAGAATTAATAGCTGCACCTATAAAAGACCAATTTGAGTGTCTGTCCAAGGAAAACACAGGTTTTTAGAAACTCTGGGAATTTGCAGCAGGCTTCTTTCCTACTTCTTTCATAATGGGTGGGCCTCAGTTTCAGTTTGAAAGCAGATGTCGTCTGTAAAATGTCTGCGTCCTGCTTGTTAGACTAGCAAGATTTAGTTCCTCTTGTCTTTGTCCTGCCTCATAGTTATGTTTTTTGATACTTGTGCATTAGCTGTTGCAAACATGCCTGCCCTGGGAACTTGAGGTACTGATGTACATAGTCACAAGACTTTCATTCCAGGCCTGGGCCACTCTTCCAGTAGCACATCTGCAGTTGCAGACTGGAGTTTAAGTGAAATGCTTGAATCAAATACTGATGCTCTTGTTTGGCCTTTTTTACAAAAGGTTTTCACTAGATTACAGAATCCACTCTTCTGCAGTGGCAGTTGGAGTCTAAGTGAAATGCATGAATCAAATACTGATGCTCTTGTTTGGCTTTTTTACAAAAGGTTTTCACTAGGTTACAGAATCAAGCGTGTAAATAAAGCTGCTGAATACATTGTTGGAGTAACTGGAGCTGGGAGAATGTTGGCATTTCCTTTCTTCTTTTTCAGTGCGTCTTATTTTGACAGCAGTAGCTGGAATTACTGGAGGGCTTTTCCTGGTTGCAAGCTGGTGGAGATTTGGCTCTGTCCTACTCTGCATGTTCATTATTGGACTTGTGCTGGGTTTTCTCTTTTCATCAACCGTCTTCTTTACTCCACTAGGTATGCACTGAAATACTCTGCTGCTAAGTGATGTGTTCCTGCTGTATTACAGGGACATTCCAAGGCTCTAAGAGGAGCGTCACTATCTGGTTTATCCTGGTGTTAGATTTTAACTTTCCCTTTCCAGTGCTGGGAGGTCTAGAGATGTTACCTGAGGCCTTCTTTCAGGTGTGCTGTAATTAAAGCTACCTGGGGAATCTGCACTGGTGGGAAAAGGAAGCTGCTCATTCTGCAGAGAAAAGGAAGCTGCTCATTCTGCAGAGAACCTGCTGAGACTGTTTCTAGCTGAGCTGCATGCCAGCTCCGCAGCCTGTGGCACCGGCTGTGCTCCAGGCAAGCACTTGCTGCCTGTCTTGTTCTCTGTCCAGAACAAGTCACAGTAAAAAATCTGCTGTCTCGCTTGGAGGCTGCAGGAATAAAGGCATCACGGAATAAGAGGAGCTCCTGCTGTTACCTTTCACCCTGCTTTGGCGCGAGGCTCTGGGAGCACTGCACTGTAGGAGTCAAACTTGTATTTGTAGCTGCATTAACGTAATCAGGGTCTTTAGAATCACTTGGAGAAACTATAAACAAATGGCTGAAAAGCAAGCAAGGCTGCTGAGCTGGAATCCCTCAGGGCCATCAGAGCATCAGCCACCCTGCTTTCTCTATTGTAATTTTGAATCTCCCTAAACGTTTCTACTTACGATCCCTTGGTGGGACAGTGTTTTCATTCTCCAGTCACCTGTGTGTGACTCGGCCCACCACCCTGTGATAATCCATGCAGTCCCTGGTTGCTCTTTGTTAAACAGTGCCTCGGCTGGGGGGCAGCTTGTACCCTGTTTAACTGACAGGCCGTAGGAAGCGGGGGAAGCATAGTTTGAGTGACTCGGTTACTCTTCCTAGAGCCAGAAGAGTTTGTTATCTTGCGTTGTGATGGCTCTGCTTGCACCACACTCTAGAGTCAAACTTATATTGATGCAGGCTTACAGATTATAAACCTATTTAGGCAATAAAATGGCTCCTTATTGGGCAGAAATACTCTTTAAAAATACTTTTTATTCTTACCGGATGAGTATTACATACCTCATCATCAAAAATCTGTTTCATGGACAAGGTCTGCTGTCCCGACTTGGAGTACAGGACCTATAGTCAACTGGGACAGTCTCTTTCTGTTCTTGTTTTTAGTAACAATGCATCTTGATCAGCATTTGAGCTCAAAAGCTGAGTTCTTCCACACTGTACTCCAGATACTTGAGTGTACAGAATCTTTGGGACGGGGGGAAGCTCACCCTCAACAACTTGCAGAAGAAGGAAATGTCTTACATGGTAAACCATGTGAAATATGGTGTCTTTGCAGGAGACTACAAGGTCTTCCGTGACGATGTTGTGTTCTGGGTGACCTTTTCTTCGGCAGCCTTGATGATTCCAGTGCTTTTTGTTGGCTGTCCGAGAATTGTAAGTAATCTGCACTGTCACCTCAGGAGGTGGGAGAAGAGGTGTCAGACTTCTTAATGCAAAACGTGGCCCTGTGGGATATGTATAGGAGACCTAACACAGCATCATGAAGCTCAGCACAGGCCCAGCTCTAGGGAGTGCCTGGTCAGCCCTACTTGTGTTAAATGGTCCCTAAGCGAAGGAATGGCCTTTTGCAATGTGGCACGTGGTGTCTAACATCTGCACTTAGTCACAGAATCCTAGAATGGTTTGGGTTGGAAGGGACCTTAAAGACCATCTAGTTCAACCCCCTGCCATGGGCAGGGACACCTTCCACTAGACCAGGTTGCTCCAAGCCTCATACAGCCTGGCCTTGAACACTTCCAGGGATGGGGCGACTTCCGTCTTAACAGCATGTCTGGGTAACAGGTGTGTGCAGCCACTTTCTTGAAGAGCTGGTACAGAATGCTGCCTTCAGGAGGTGGCATTAAAAAGTGCTTATCAACCTCCTAAAGCTGCTTATTTTTTTTTTTTGTCTCCCCCTCTAGCTGAACATACTGGCCTCTGGAATAGTAGGCTCTTACGCGGTGATCCTAGCTATTGCTTGTTATGTTTACACAAGTCTTGCTTACATCACCTTAGACCTGCTCAGAAGGGTCCTCAATGATTACTTCAGCAGAGCTTACACCAACGTGCCTTTTCAAACAAATGGTGAGTACTGCTCTGAAGACAACTCTGTGTGGTGTTTGTCTTTTTTTTTCTTAAAAAAAGAAAGTCACTGCCTCTTTGGTTCCATTGTAACAGTGAGTGCTGAGGGTAGGAAGGATTGAAAGGAGAACACAGTAAGTGCAGTGTGAGATTTAATACCCAGATGATAAATTCTGGTCCTCCCAAACAAATACTGAGCAGACTCAAAGGCACCAACCTGCCAGCAGGTGTTATGTGACGCGGACCTTTGTGAAAGGGTTTCTCGGGCTTGGACTGCCACCTCGCTGGTGACTTTGCAGCATGGGCAGTCGAAAGGCCTGATAATGTGGCTGAACAGACTTAGCTCAACCCCACGCGTGTTCTTGCCGTTGGGTGGAATTACTCGAGGCATGGGAAGGCTGCAGAGACAACACTTCATTCCTTTGTGTTGCTAAGCTGGTTCAGTGTTTGTGCTTGGGAGAGGAAGGAATGACCTGCTCGGATCTCTCTTCTCTTTCTCAGACTTCATTGTCCTGTCAGTGTGGGCAATGCTGGCCATCAGCGGAATAACTGTGCAGCTTCGCAGAGAGAGGAGCGAAGTGCCCTTCCCACCACACCCCTATCTCACCTGGAAGCGGGAAAGGGAGCGCAGAAGCACCAACGTCTTGGACCCTAGCCACCATATCCCTCCCCTGAGAGAGAGGATCCATAACAAGCTGCTGCACATCAAAGAGTTTTTTCAGAAGGAGCAGCCGGCTGGGGAGAGAACTCCGTTGCTTCTGTAACCTGCCGGATAACTGGTGGGAACAGAGACAAAGAAGCTAGGAATGGTGAGATGAGTGATCACCAGCAAAGCAGCCGTTGGGACAGGATTTACCACTGCCAACTTGGCCTGTTTAAGAGGATCGTATTTGCCCAACCGGGAAGAAAAGCCGATCTGCCGGTACACTACATGCACTTCTGTGACTCTCCCCTCGCTGGCCCACTCAGCCTGCTGTAACATGCACATGTATAGCTGCAGAATCTTGTACCGATGGTCGAGTACGGGTGTTTTCCTTGTGGTGATCTAGTTCGATGTTTTAGGTACGCACAGTATAAAACACCCCTTGGAAAACACCTGTACACCACCGGTCCTTCCCTCGCAGCGCGGAAACCACTACTGACTTACTGCCGGGCTCGCTCCCGAAGCGGAGCAGTCAGTCGGATTGTGAGGGATGAGCAATATGGACCGCATGCAGGACCAGTTCTAGCAGGAGCTGAACTGTCGCCTTCTCATACAGGTACAGAATGTGTGGCTGCAGACACGACTGTTTCTGAGAAGTATTACTGGAACGTGCAAGCTAAAGTGAGTGACTTGAATTTAAACTGCACTGAATTAACTGCTGTAAGTGTGCACACTGGGGCTCAGGAAGCGGAGCTGGTCTGAGACGAGACGACCTTTTCCCTCGCTTTCGGGTGGTTCTGTAGCAAGCTGCTCATCTGGTCTCTGTGCAGAGATGACCGCTAAGAGAACACAAGAGGTTTGCCTCCTTGTTTGCTTTCTGTAACTTGTTTCTGCTCTGGTATAATCTCTTTTTTTTTTTTTTTTTTGGTGGTGCTGTCATAAAAGAAAAAAACTAAATAAGCTCTTTGTAGCCAACAGCAGTTTTTTCCTGGAATTGGTTGAAACACTATTTTTAATCAGTATATAATTTAATTTTAGGGTTTAAGGGGTGAAAACAGCATCCAGCTGGTGAAATACTGACTAGGATCCCTGCTGGCTGAATGTGTCCCTTACCGATTTGGGTCGCATCTGCCCGAAGTACAAAGTAGTATAAGAACAGATGAGGGCCCGCTCTCGTGTTCGGTGGAGGATTGTGATCTGGTGTGGCGGCTTTATTCGCTTCCTTAACAACAAACAGCCCTTTTTAAAATGCAAGCTGGACCCTCGTGGGTTTGGCTCACCAATGCATGAGCATTCCCGAGGCTGTCCTTGGTTTTTACCTGCCCCACCCCTGGTATTCACGCTCAGTGTTTACGTGGTGATCCGTCATGCTTTATATGATGGTTGAAGTCTTGCCTCCCGTATCCCGATACAGGTTGCGGTGGCTCTTGCGTGTTCTTTGTACCTTTAGCAGCGTGGGCAGCCAAGTGCACAGTCCTGGGTACCCTAGTGATGGAAACTGAAGTTCCCAGCCACCACTTGAAATTCTTGGTAGTGAGTATGTAAGAAACAACTCTCTTTGGGAACGTAGTTGGAAGTTAAACCACCCTGGCAATAGAAAGGAATTAATGACTTCAAAGTGACTCTACTTACCGGCCCTTTTTCCTCAAGGATTGAAAGCTTAGTGACACAGTAGCTGAGGTGACTGAGCTGATCTGATGGTCAGAAACACAAATCCCATGATTGCTTGGAGCTGGACCGTCTGCCTCAAACAGCGGAGCAGGGCTGAAATCCTGGAATTTGGCTCTCTCCACTGTGCTGTTGTGTGGCACGGGGAGGCTCTTT